CAGTGCGGGTGGGGGTTGAAGCGGGGAAAGGAACTATCATATGTGTGTGTGTGCCTGCCAGTACGCGTGTGACGGTGTTTCAGTTCGTCACGCTGCACCCCCGTTTGCTGGCGGGGCTGCCATGCCCCATGCGCGCCGGTTGTGTCCTGTCGTGTGTGTGTTTCCGTGAAACACTTCCTCCCGTGTCTCCCCTCCCTCCCCCCTGGTCCTGGTTCCCCTTCCCCTTCCCCTCCTCGCCATATCCCCCCGAACTCCCGCTGATTTCCAACACAATGGTCATTCGGTGTTTTGGACGTCTTTGGCAGTTGTTGTTCCCGTACGTTTCGCTGCATATATATCCCGCCTCCCCCCTCCGACCCCCTCGTTCCCCGCCCGCCGCGGGCAGGTGCGGTCATCAGCGCGTGCCCCGAGCGCTGCCGCCGGGTGGCGGAGGCTCTCGAGTGCGGCATTGTGTGGGTCAACTGCTCGCAACCGTGTTTCTGCTACGTGAGTACCATGTGTGTATGTATGTTGTTACAGGGTGGTTAACTTCGCCAGCGGCCCCCTTTCCCGGGGCAGTCCCTGCTCTCCCCTGCTAGAGGGGCACCCTAATCCGTCACCCCATCCAACTTCAGAATGTATTCGTTGGGTTCGGCAACTCACCACCAGCATCCAACCAAATCTAGCGGATCAACGGCGCATCAACTTAGTTCCTGGTCAGCTCGCAAGTTGATATTATCACGTCCTACACCGTCCATATGATGGGGGGCCACCTCCCATTTCATCACTCCTCAAACACCCGAGGAGCCGGCAGGCGGATTTGAACCCGGGTCGACTGGGTCGACTGGGAGCAGAAGTCAGGCCTTAACTTCTGCCAGCCGCCTGCCTAATGCCTGGTGTATGTATGTATGTATGTATGTATGTATGTATGTATGTATGTATGTATGTATGTATGTATGTATGTATGTGCCGTGTGGGGTTGCGCGGGGGGAGGGATCTTATGCAGGAAGCAAGGGTTTAAAGACGGATGAGGGGTGGGGCACGCATGCCTACATACATGCATACATCCGCACACGTCCGCCGAACTAGACCATATGCGTCTTGGCCCCCCCCCCTGATTCCTGGCCCCCACCCGGTCCCCTTGTTCGTTCCTCATCTTCCCGTCAGGCCCCCTGGGGGGGCATCAAGAACAGCGGACATGGTCGGGAGCTGGGGGAGTGGGGGCTGGAGAACTTCTTGTCGGTCAAGCAGGTGCGAGTGAATGTCGGTGTGTGTATTTGCGTGTGTGTGTATGTGTATAAATGCGTCTGGTTTACCGTGTATGTGTGTATGTGTCTCATGGGCATCGTTAAGAGTAGCCGCACACTGGCGGGGAGGCGGGGAGAGGGTTATTGTAAGGGGTCGGGCAGTCATCACCAACAAAGCAATCCGCTGACGTACGTACGGCATCCACCGTGTCTGGGTGAACCCGGGGGTGTCAAGTGCAGTACATGTACGGCCCCCTGGAGAGCTACGTCCTCCGCGTTAATCCTCACCACCTTTGTTGCCCGATTCCGCGTGTGTGTGGCCCCCCTACACGGGGGCCACATGTTGCCTCTGGACACCCGTACCCCTAGGGCTGGTTACCCCCCTGACCCTGTCCACCCCTCTGACCCTCTGCGAATGGCTTCCCCAGCCCAGTACATTTCTTGTCCCTTGGGAAAAAACCCTTTCGAGTCCCCCCCCGAGTGCACCCCTATCAGCTAAAAACCACCCCTCTGGTGCCCCTCCCCTCTCTCCCGCCCCTCTCCCCTCTAACAACAAAAACCCAGATCACCAAGTACGTGTCTCCGGATATTTGGGGCTGGTACTCCCCACCCGCCCAACAGCAGCAGCAAACACAGGAGGCGCCGTCCAAGCTGTAGCTGAAAGGCTGTAGCAGTAGCGGACTCTTGTGTTGTCGTTCTCCACGTTCCTCAGGGGCCGTGGCTCGGTTTCCGGCCGGGGCTATGGATGTGTCTGTAATGTATGTATGTGTGTTTTGGGGGGATCGAGGAGGGGTTGCGAGCGGCCCCGTGTCTTCTTGCCTAGGTGTGAGTGTATTGGGTACGGGTACGGTTGCTGATATCCTCCGAGCTGGGACTGGCAAGGGGAATGGGGCCGGGGCCGGGGACGGAGGGTTTCTCTTTGGTTGTGTATATTTGTGTGTGTGTTTACTCGTGTGTGTGTGTTGGGGGGGGGCGGGGGGCCCGGGGGGGTGCCTCCATTGTCACGCAGTGGTGAACCTGGCAGTGTTTTTTTCGGTTTTCTGTGGCATTTCTTCGGAGGCATGTACGTATATACTTTTGTATGGGACGGAGCAATAGATGGTCCGCCGTACGCACGTGTTTTGTTCGGTGCTACAGTCGTATGACGCGACAGCGGATGCTGGGATGTGGATGGTCTTAATAATCTGGGACGGTTTGGTTATTGGACGCCTCCCCATCTGCCACTATCTCCCAATTTACCGCCCTCGTCACCTGCATGAGTGGAGGGGCCGCTCCCGGTTGGTTCGTCAGGCTGGGCTAGCAGAGGGTAGCTAAGGGGTAGCAGACAGGAAGTGAGGGGCGGATGATGGCGTATGTAATGTGTGTGATGGCGTCCGATCATGTAAACTTCTTGTACGTATGATAATATGCCGTGCAGCCCCGATGGCTCAAGTACAATTACCAAGGATGGATCAAGTGACCTGCACGGGGAGTGTCCCCCCGTGTGCGTGAGGAGGGCAGAAGTGCCATCAGGACTATCAACCCCGGCGGTGTGGTCTGCTGCAGCTGGACCCCCCCGCCCCCCCAGCGTTTGTGGTTCGTCTTTCCCAGCAGGATGATGGAGCGGATGGAGAACACGACGTGTATCCCCCACAGAGCTGCAGCACCCCTGCCCCCCTGCCCACCACATAGCAGTGTACACATCAGCGCGACGTGCAGTACGTTGCGGCCGATGAAGAAGCGCATTGCGCGTGCGGCCTAACATGCAAATAACAGTGTTTTGCAAAGCATCTCAACTGGGGTGTCGGGAAGTAATTTGGGGGTGGGGGACACGAAGTGAGGTTCGGGCCGCTGAAAGGCCCGGCCGAGTAACGGCGAGGACGTGGTCCAAGTCCCCGCGGACCCATCACCTTTTAATAGGACATTGGCATTGACATATTTTTCTGTGTGATAGGTTCCGCAGCTACAACCTCGTAGCACCGGAGACGCGGTGTGGAGGTGTTCGAGGTGTGGAGGTGTTCGCATGCCGCCCCAAAAGTGCAAAGGGAGGGGGGGGGTAACTTTGGGGTTTAACCTGCAGTGGCAAAATGCAGTCGACCGATTTGGTTTTCCGGTGTCGCAGAATGGATTTAAAATTGGATCTGGCTTATTTGTTGGGCCAGTCAGAGTGTCTTTGCTTGGTATTGGGCTGCCCCTTCCGCCGAAAGTAACCCTGAATTGTAACTGAGACAAACTGAGTTATGAATTATGAGCTTTATTGTTGGATCTTCAGCTTCTAAAATACCTTTTTCTCCTGTTTACATAGCAATTTACATAAAGTTATGTTTTTGAGGTTATGAAACTGCTTTAGCGCCGGTACTTGTGAAAGGCGAGCGTTGACAACGTCGAGCGAGTGACCGCAAAGCCGTCACAAAGTGTTTTGCGGTCCCGAACCTTTGCCTCAGTCCAGTTAGGTCCAGTTAGTCGACCATAACTAGCAAACGTCTATTGAATTCGTGATTTTATGTTAAAAGATAAGCTAATTATAAAATATTTCACGGATTACCCACCGTTCCTTTGCTCCATTGAACTTAGCAAGGCCTGACAAGGCAAAAAGGCGTTGGTACCAGCTGCAGCTAAGATCGTAGTATGGATGAAGGCAATGAGCATATACATTTCGTTGAAAATTGATCTAGTTGCATGCAGCAATCCAGCAGGTGGGTTTATTTCGAAATTCCAGACATTTGCAACTGCTACGACGGACAGACCGACCGTTCGGTAGACGTGCGACAATGGAGCTGGAAAGTCCGGGGGTGTAAGCAACTACAGGATACTTAGCAATAAAATCATTATAAAATAAATCAAATCTATTCCGATAAAAATGTGCAAAATTAGCACTTGACCAGGATTGGGGTTGCTAAAGTCGCACGTACGTTATTTGGGCGGTAGCTATCCGCGAGCTCGGTCACCCAAGATATTCAAAAGCCGTCTTGGTCAATCGATATAGTATTCATACTGGCATGCCGATAATAAACCTCACTCAGCTGCAAGATTTATTATGATGACCATGGCACGCCGGATCTTCAACCGCTGCAACCTTGCCTTATGCACAAGCTTATCATTGTTATGTTCAATCCACAGCGTGATGTCTGCAAATATTCTAAATGGTGAGATTAATCAGTGAACTGGCGTGATTGAGTTGCGTGATGAGCGCTTGACGAACGAAGCATGCGGGCGCCTTCGGGCGTTTCCCTGAAGTCCAGAAGCGCCAGAGAAACGTTTTCCCGCGCATAACGACCGATGTAATCAGGTCTATCTGTCGTTTTATTGGCTAAACCTTTGTTGGATGAGTCATTGCTTCCTGGCTTACTTCGGAATTGTGAGCGCACGGCCGATCACCATCCTTCCCTTGACGGGTCGGCGGGTGTTCCACATGAGTACCTTGGCTCGTAGATTGGTGTGCTTGCACGAATTCGGCATGGATGGTGCATTCCCCGTCTTCTTTCCCTGCAATATATCCCAGCCATGTCGCCGGCACACTTCCGAGAGTATACTCTGACTCACCGTCGCCGAACCCACCCCAACAAACCCACTGTCAACCTCTAAATGTATGCATAACATGCATACATGCATACACACACGTGGCCGCAACCAACCAATTTTCCTGCCGTACGCGAAGCTGTTGGTACCGTGGCCATTATGAGAGCAATTGGCGAGCGGCCGACTGCCCAGCCGAGTAATCCGGCAGCCTCGGGAATTGGACAGACAGTTTCTGTGTCCGATCTCGTCGAGCTTCGGTGCCCCGAGCTGGTGGATCCTGATACCGGCTTCCTGAAGCCCGACCCGAACTGTTCGGTGCCACTGAGGCGCCTGGTGCGAGGAGCGCGTTCAGTGCTGGCCTTCCAACACGGGAACCAGGTGCTGTCCGGCGACAAGATCTCGGTGCGTCCTTGATGATGCCGGGCCGGATAAGGAGACGATGGGGATGTACGGATGGATGTATGGATGCATGTGAAAATGAACCGACGTAGGCCCCGACGGGACAAAGGGGTAGAGGACTGGAGCGGATAAATCTGACGGGGAGCGAGGGGAGCGAGGCTAGGGTTATTCTGTTTCTAGGGGGAAAAGGATGTGGGGGAATAAAGAAAGGCTGGTAATAAATGGGCGAACGCGCGTCAAGGGGATACTGTTCGAGCTACCTACCTAGCTAATAAGGTCAAGATGGATGAGAGTCGTTAAAACAGAGGATGTATTATATGTACTCTGTAGCCCTGTATGTATGTGAGGTGGGTGGCTGGCTGGGCGGGAAGGAAGGCCAAACATTCTGTCTATCTGTTGCCCAGGGCAACCATCCAGGGTTCTTTCGGCACTGTATGTGACTGCTGGGCGCCCTCACGGCTGATGACAGATTAGGCCGATTCTCATGACTGAGGTCTCATGCTTGATGAGTTGCATGCCCGCAGGCCATTTTCGACATCATTGATAATGGAAGCAGCATTCAGAACTCGTCGACTGCACGGCGACGGCTGCTGTCGGGGCGAGGCGCCATTCCACTGCTTCGCCCGGGATCCCTGCAAGTGCTGGCCCGCAACCAACAGAAAGAGGTGGAGGGGCAGATGTGCGGGGGCCTGCGGCTGGCTCCCAGCAGCTGCTTGTTCTAGGATTCAGTACACGGTGTCTTTTCCGAGTCGTTCATAGCTAGGAGGCAAATCCGCAGCGCTATGCGGCGAATTCTTAATCGTGATTAGTGTTGGGTACTAACACGTGTGTGTGTGTGTGCGTGTGCGTGTGCGTGTGTGTGCGTGTGTGTGTGTGTGTGTGTGTGTGTGTGTGTGTGTGTGTGTGTGTGTGTGTGTGTGTGTGTGTGTGTGTGTGTGTGTGTGTGTGTGTGTGTGTGTGTGTGTGTGTGTGTGCACAATCAGGTAAGCATGTGCATTGGGGCTACGTTTGATGGACGAATTCCACGGAGGGGAAAGGCGCAGCAGATAGCAAGCAGAAATGCGGGAGTATCATGATTTGCGATATGGCGCTACGTATATGATATGGTCCTCCTGCTCTATGGTCCTGCTCTACGGCAATGCTGGTACACGATCCATCATGAGTGTCCGGCCATGCACGGACATTGGGCAAGCAGTTTTCCTCATCCCCTCCCACATGTTGCATCGCATGCAGTTCTACACGGGATCACCCATTCAGCTGCGTGCTGTGGTCTATCTGCTGGATATGTGCGGCTGGATGAACCCGTTCAGGTCTGCCCAGGTGCGCGTTTGTGCGTGTTTCCGTGTCACGGTCAAAGCTGGCCACATGTCCGTACAGGCTAGCAGAGGGCGGGGAAGGTTCCTTGTAGAGGGAGTGAAGCAAGGAGTGAACTCCTGTTTACCTATCTACTGTTGTCGGGTCAGGGGTAGCTAGTTGTCTAGGTGTGTGTTCTTGGGTGGTGTAGCTGCTGGGCTTAGCTAGGCGCATATGCAAATAACTGATGAGGATGTGTGTAATTGTGTAATTGTGTAATCCATGGCAAGGCGGGGATTGTTTTTTAGGGTTTCTTCTTCTGGGTAATGGTTCCCTTCCCGAGTAGTGAGGCACCTGCTGTTGGATTGTTCAACAATCAGACACGTGCAGCACCCAAGTACACACCTACGCTTGCTATCGCCTCCCGCTGCCCGCACCGACCCCAGGCATTCCGAAAGTACATGTTCAATAGCGGGCCTGGATCTATTGAAGGCAATCTTCAGGTGAGCGCTCGAAATCCAAGACGAGCGCTACTTCCTGTACGTTGCAAATCTACCGAGAGCCGACCCCGCCGCCAATTGATCATTGTGATACGACTTACGAGTCCTGCACGGGTGCGGGAGGCGTCCGTAAAAGCTAGGGCGGCCATGAACGAAGTTACAGTAGTAAAAGTATTACCTCCGCCGCCCAGACTAGTTGGTTGGTTCTTCCCTCTCCCTTCGCCCTGACTTCTTCGTGTTGCGCACGCACCCACTCACCCACTCACTGCCCTCCCCCGCTTCACTTCAGTATACCAAAGCGCGCCTTCAATAGCTCATCCAGTGTACTGATGAGCGCTTCTAAGGCTTTCTTCTTCATCCTTCTTTGGCAGAACTACTACCAAACCTGCTCGTACAACAAGACCCTGTGGGACCCCGCCAATGTCGCGGTGGTGGGACCACTCACGTTGGACTGCCAAGGTACCTCCGTGATTGGCGCCCTCCAGTATCCAGTCGATGCGTCAAAGCGCTGTGGCGCGGCCGAGCAGATATATTGGGTGAAGACAGCCAATGAGCTGGCTCAAAAGGTAATAACTACTTAGATCTATTGAAACGTTAGGTCGATGCGTTAGCAGTCGTTAGCGCTCTTCTACGTAGATGGAAACCAACGGGAGTGGCCGCCAGGGAAAGATCCTGGAAGTGTGCATAGTGACTTGGTTTTTGAGTATCTAATGTTTCACGGCTGGGTAAGATTAAAGAGATGCAGTACTGTACGCCGCCGCTGCTCGCTGGACGCGCCGGTTATCGAAACTAGGTAACCGTGAGCGAATGTGTGTAGCTGTGGAACTCGCAGCTCGGAACGGAAAGCGCTGAGTTGATGTTGTCCCGGTTCTACCCTATTATAATATTTATAATATATATCCACAAGGATGGGGGACGAGCTTACTCGTTAGGAGTAACAGGCGCGTTAGGAGTAACAGGCGCGTTAGGAGTAACAAGAACGTGATCTGTCCATGACGGGGTCGGTCCTCTACACACTCCTCCATATGCAGATGGCTGAGCCGGGGTCCACATTAGACATTGTGCTGCGGACGAGCACGCGGCGACGTGTCGTGGTCGTGCTGCCAGGGCAAGTAAAGTGTGGCTTCGCCGGTCTCGCGGACGTGGCGTGCTCGGGCACCACGTGCCGCAGCTATATTAAGGTGTGGATGTACGGCTGTACGGATGCGTGGGCGGAAATGCATGGGCGTGACATGCATGCATGCATGGGTGAGGTAGCCGACGAATAATGCTAAGTCTGTACAGAAGCACAAGCAACCTAGCCAAACCTAGCCAAAATCCTAGGGTAGGGTAGGGTAGCAGCTGGCGGCCGCTGAAATGGCCTCTCGAGATGCTGATCAAGTGCTCGGCACGTATTTGTTTTAGTTGATATGCGTGCCGTACTGTGTACCAGCTACTACATTTCCCCCCTTTGAAGGGATCCGTCTCGGGCCCTTACGGCCACGTATACCACCAGACTGTGCCTACCTTCACCTACCCTCGGGCAGTGGGGTGTTCAATCCACGTAACGTCATGTGCCGGCCTCACATGCGCGTCTAGCCGTCTTTAGTTTTTTCAGGCACAGAGCCCTCCCAATCAATCTCAGCCACATTTATGCCATGATAATCGTGTACTTGGTTGTCGTCTAACTGATGTAGACTTCTCGTGGTTTGTTTCGTGGTCGAATAGACGACTTCAGGATCGCAAACATGTACGAGGTCTCGATACCAATTGTAGCAGCTGGCGGCCGCTGAAACGGCCTCTCGAGATGCTGATGAAGCGCTTCGCACGTATTTGCTGTGTACTGCACCTAGATGGGTCGATCCTAAACCAAGCTGTGTCCCAACTAGGCTGCCGCTCAACTTACTCTGATTCCCTACGTCCTGCGTCTGAAGGAAAAACGCATACGGATCCATTCATGTTGCTATTTACCCCCTGCGTGCGATTATTGTTACCGCTCTCTATCACGCATGCACGCATGCAAGCACGGTGACGACCCCGATGCCTTTTTCCCGCCCGAGCAACGTAATTGAACCCGGGGAAACGTTGACCAACTGTCAATGAACAACACCAGGGTACCTCTGCTGCCGACGTTCACGTCCTTTTCCACGAGCTGCAGCACAACTACGGCCTAAGCCATGCCGGCTGGTGAGAAAGGACTTGAACCTGCTGCTTGGCTTGCTAGCAAGCGTCAAACAAGGCTGCCGTGTAAACCACCGATGCCTTACACACAGGGGAAGCAAAGCGGTGGTAGCGGTAACAGGCTAACAGCAAAATAATATCAGCAGCAACAATAGTAGTAGTAGTAGTAGCATCAAGACGTTCTGCAGCTTGCCGTGTGTGTGATTGTGTGTATATGTCAGCGCGTCTATCTGGAGAATCTGTACATACATGCATAAATACACACATACATACGCCCGAACGGCACGGGATAATAATGTCTGCAGGTCTGACGACGAGTACGGCGATTCCACCGATCCAATGGGCAACTCACCCCGCAACAATCAGGGGGTGCACTGCCACAACGCGCCCTACAACTGGCGTGCGGGCTGGGCCGGCCCTGTAAAAGATGGCATGATCACCTCCGCCAACTTTACCCCCGCAAAAAATCGCATCAACTTCACCCTTCCAGCCTCCAGCATCAGCGACATGAACATGGTCATCGTGGACTTGGGCTACAGAGCCCCGCTGCCGGGATCCCCCTTCATACCCTATCCAAAATACTTCCTCAGCTACCGCGTCCGCAACAGCACCTTTGGAGGCTACGACGGTGGCATGCCTGGCACGTACCACCAAAAGGTCCTTATCCACAACTTCAACGGCACCGGTTCGGAGCGCGATTACAACCGCTCCAACTACATAGATGCCGGCCCACGCTTCACACAGCGGAACCCAGCATTTCCCGCCGGCAATGTTTGGACTGCGCCGTTCGTTCCCTTCAACTCCAGCAGTGGCCTCGGCGGCGGTTTCCGCGTCATCGTGGTGGCCCTGGACGCCATTTCTGCTGTGGTGGAGGTGTGTCGCATGTACAGCCTGAAAGAGGGAGACCCCGGCAGCGAGGAGTGCGAGAGCAACACGGACAGAGACTGGTAAGAATAAAGGGGGAAGCAGCTAACAGCGGGATGTTGCTGCTGGGGGTGTAAAGGTACTGCATGGCGGCATGCATAGCAGTGTGCCGGGTCTGTTTGTCGGGTCATAGAGGAACGGGTCAAGGTGCGGATTATCAAGGGGTCGCCACCTACATACATACATACATACAGGTTTCGATAGGGCCTCTGACAATTTGCTTGCTTGTTTGCTTCAGGCTTAGATAGTTGCTTGTTTGCTTTCAATAGAGCTCAACAAATCCATAGAGCATCATTCATCGCATGGAAATAATAGGGAGTTCCAAAGCTTCAGGACCGAGCCCGCCCAACCACTACTAGTTGCGTATTCCCCGGCTGCTGTCAATTGATACTCGTCGGCCTCAAATGCGGCCTTAAATACGAAAGCGACCCTGTACGCATGTAAGATGCCTTCGTGACATATGAACATGTGACATGCGGGAGGAGTCAAATAATGCTCCTCCCTGGAAAAGAGAAGAATTTTTGGAACTGTTATGCGAGGATGAACCACCTATATACATTTCTGGGTACATAGCGCTCTCCAGGCTCCATGTGCTCGCCACAGCCGCTTCTATCTGCGTGTGGCTAGGGTGCCACGCGTACGGGAGAGACCACACCAAGGGGAAGGTCAAACATGGCAAAGAAATAACTTGTCGGTTTTTGTGCTAATAACTTACCCGCGGTAAATATTACCGAATGCGGATCCGCAGTGATGGGCTGGTCGCACAGGTAGACCCGGACTGTACTGGCCTTCACGGCCTGAGTCCGTCGCCACCATCAACGGCACCCAAGCCGGCACAGCGACAGCTACCAACCCCGACACGCACACCAACACAGCTATCACCACGGTCACGACCACCACCGCCACCACGACGCCTGTCGTCCCCGTCGCCTAGGCGGTCGCCGCCGCCACCACCGCCGCCACCACCACGATCGCCGCCACCATCCCCACCATCACCGTCTCCACAACCCCCGCCATCACCATCTCTATCCTCGCCACCCTTGCCTTCGCCATCACCTCCACGGCCACCACCATCACCACGGTTGCCATCACCCCGGTTGCCATCACGGCTGCGGCCACCGCCGCTGCCACCTAGGATACCACGACCACCCAGATTTCCCAGGCCTCCCCGTTCGCCGTGGGCCCCTAGGATGCCACCGCTGCCTGCGAGGCGAACGCCACCCAGCTCGTCGACACGGTGATTGCCTTCGGACCCGCGAGCAACGTAACGCGCACAGAGAACAACCCTGCCGACTATATCCATGACCCCTGTTTTATTACAGATGATGCTAGATGATAGAGTTAGTTAAGTCGTTGAATCATTCTGTGGTGTCCGGGGCATATCACGGGATTTTGGCATTTGCCAATGGGTACTTATCTGAAGTCGTGGTACAATGCACATTCGGAGTGAGTAGACAGCCTTTGGGGCCGGGCGGGGTGGCGCCCCGGGCGGGGCGGACCTTTGGGGCGGGGCGGGGTGAACGGTCACGAACATGATCTGCGGTATCCAGCGGGCAGCGCTGGTGGCACAGCTACAGCTGGCAGGTATGCATTTCAAAGTTTAGGATACTCATACGCATTCCACCAGCTGAAGCAGTTCAGCGGAATACCTGCTGTCGTCGTCCTGGGTGAGCCGTGTGCAGCAGGCAGCAGACAGGTGTGCGTGCGTATGATTTTTTCCGCCTGTGGACGCCGCCGCTCGAGGGTGCGAGCCAGTCCTGATGCAAGTACCAGCTAGCACGGCATGTTGGATATTGCACATATTTTCTGGACATATTTTTGTGACTTCGAAGGAGGTAGCTAGCTGGGTGGGGAGGTGGCCCCTCCCGCGCCATTACGCCAAGACGACCTACCTTTCCTGATTTATTTGCTGCGGTAAAGTTAGGTAGCACAAAACTTTTGGATTTTCATCCGGAATTGCATATTCGACGTGTTACAGGCAGTTCCTCTCCTAGCTAGCCCTACGTTATGGTGTTTCGTTGTGAGCTCCGTCAATGCTCAGCTGCTATTACGGCCGGCGTGTCTCGTATTGTTTGGTTGTCCGGAGCGAGCGATCCAATCGCGGACCTCGGAGTATGAGAGACTTCTTTCTCACAATTGAGAATTTTACTTGCTTGATGATAAAACGAAATGCGGATTCTTTTTCATGCAAGAAGCTGGTGGAAGACTGGTGCAAAGGATCGATAAATCAGAGTTCCAATCTGGTGCGCGTGACACATTGTAAGCAGCGGGGCGGGGCGGGGCGGGGCGGGGCGGGGCGGGGCGGGGCGGGGCGGGGCGGGGCGGGGCGGGGCGGGGCGGGGCGCCCCTGGACATTGCAAGCAGCTGGAAATGAGAAATGTACACATGAGATAAACATGTATGCCTTGTTTTCATTAAATGCATGGGGTATGTAGTACGTACCCGTCATGTTTGGACGGCCCCACGCCGGCCTCCTCGACCAGTTGCTTGCTGGTAGGTGGCTTGGGTGGTGCATAGCATAGAGCGGCAAAGGAACGCATCCCGCGGAGATACGTAGATAGATAGCGTAGTAGATACATCAGCAGCCAGGACGCTGAAGTTCTCATGATATAACGAAGAAAGGATGTGATGACAAGAATAGAGGGACCTAGATATATAGACGGTTATCCTGATTTATATTAATGCACTACTAGGTATTTGTTTATTTGAACATGTTGCATGTACGCCGGGGGCCTGCCGGGTGCCCGTTTAAGCATGTGCTTGCTTTACGTTACGTTCGTTGAGGCGTCGCTGATGCATGGCGCGCCCGCCGTACCCGCACAGGCTTCCCGTCCTGCAATGACGGAGTTATGTACTTACCTTAGCGAGCGCTCGACGCATTCTTCGACTTATTATTGGCCTGGCCCTTTATTTTGCGGTCCGCTACAGGCGGTGGTGACGACTTCGTTGCAGCATGCACAGAGGCACAGAATGCGTCCACGCAAAAGAGGCACACTCATTAACAACGCAGCCCGATGGAACCGCAACGTGACGGTCCCCAAGTCCGAAATGCAACGTCGGATGTATGTATGTCCGACGAAATCCAAATGCGCTTTCGTGCTTGCAGGCATGAGGCATCGATTCCGTAGAAATACGCAGCGTACATGAGTCGGTGGGTGTGGGAGGTTAGGCTTCGACTTCTCGAAGCGAAGTATGAGTGTAGAGATAGGCAAGTTATTGCGAAGGAACTGCCGTGGTGCGTGGAAGTAGGGCGCATGCATGCATGCATGTGCCGGACCGCAGTACGGCAGGGGACGCCGAGCTCCTACTTGGGTCCCACAGGCGCATTGGTTCTTTAACTGCCGTTGTCTTGAGGTGTGTCCCGCTGCTGGGTCAGTGTCCTCTAGTTTCCACCCACCCACGCACGGGTCGGTATCGTACTAATTGTCCTTTATTATGGGTTTAAGTTTGGAGTACCCGTATCGGTGCGTTCTCTCGTCAATTTTCTGTGCCTCGTCGTTCCCCCCACCCACCCAGGGCAACCCCGGGGGTTGCCACAAGGCAGCGGTCCCTGGTTTGTCCTTGCTGGTTTCGGGTGGGTCGCCCGCGTGGCTCTTGTCGGGGCGCTTGAGGTTGCAGATTCGTTAACGGTGCAACACAGGTAACTGTCATTACTATCGGCCACTAGTGCAACTTTCACAATGGGTTGGTGTTGGGAGAGCGGGTTTCGCAACGGGTTGTTTTGCTACGGAGTTGTGCTTGCGGTTGGCGGCTTAGCTACTGTAACGCAACACGGCAGGACTGAGCAATAAGCCGTAGTAGACGTAGAAGAAGTCAGAGGACGCATACAAGCAACATCATGATGGTGGGTGGGTGCAGCAGCAGGTGCGCGTAGTGCGTGTATGAACAACAAACGTATGGCTATCTACTGCTGATTGCAAAACCGCTAGCCTGGACATGTTTGTTCGCTCTTTTCATGCAGCTGCCTTAAAATCCGTCTTTTACAACGGGTCTTAGTGGCTGTTGCTGATACGGCGATGTGCGTGCGCGTGCGTACGTGTGCATGATAGATAAAATCATCGGTGCTACCTGTTGTATCATGACTTCAGAAAAGTACCGATCGGCAGATGCCAGAATCCCATGATACGTCCAGACTCCTACAATTGTCCCCCCCCCCAGGTTAGTGCGTCCTCCACCAAGTCCGTTTCAGCGGCGCCCGGGCCGAACCGCCCAGGCCTGACTCATACCCTGGTTGGGGTAGGGTCACTGGTCTCAATATAAGACATGCCTACATAAGTCACATCTGATCTCGTTAGCCCGAACGGATTATTTCAGGCGGATTATTATCGCTATAGGGCCGCAAACTGCGTGTGTAAGCACCTGCCTGCCTGCCGTGCCGTGTAAACCTGTAAACATCTTAAGAAAATGCCACTGCCGCTTCATGAAGGTCGGGCATAGCTTCAATGACAAGTGTCCAGGGCTTCCACAGCACGACTGATATCCTTCGGCAGGTCACTAGTCCCAAGCCAGGGCCCGGTTGGGCTCGCAGTTGTCAGGGCCCATGGCTGGAATGCGGGGTTTGTGAGTAGGAGGTGGGCGGAAAGCGTGCGGACCCAGGGGTGGATACCTCCGCCCACCTGCATAGCTGTGCCTGTTTCGCCTGTATCTGTCCTCTTGCTGCCTGTTCGCAGCCCTAGGGTTGTGATGATTAAGCGGCAGCCCATACCGCATGCCAGGCCTGGACGTGTTGCCGGAGGGGGAGCAGACCAAAACCCCCTACCGATGGGTGACCGATCAGAAGTTCTTTGGGCACGCCAGTCAAGCGGCGGCCGGGATCAGTCGGGCCTTATTGACGGTCGACCATCCAAGCCATGAGTCGCTCCATCTCGTCCAGCATGCGGCCTGGGGGCAGTCCGCCATGCTCCATGTTCCAGGTGACTGTCTGCAAGCCATATCCCGACACCGCCGCTGCCCTCCCAAATGCTGACAGCGGGAAGCGGGACAGAAGCTGCATCCACCGTTTGGCCTCTCCCATCCTCTTCATCGAGTCCGGCTGTGGTGGGGTCACCTGGTTGTCGATCGGCAGTGATTACCACCTTAAGACCTCCGATTGTCTCATGCTGGGGGGCTGTTGGCTGGGGTCCTGCTGCTGGTGCCGGCTGCTGTTGTTGCTGTTGAAGCTGGCCCATCCATAGCAGTTCCCCTTCCTCCAGGTTGAGTAGCTGGCCGATGCCCGGGTGAAGGTTTCCATGGAAGGGGGGGACTGATTCCGCCCCATCCAACGCCACTTCCGTGTCATCTGCATACTGACAGGCGGTGACGGGGCTTGAGCCAGCATTGGAGAGCTTGGGCGACGAAGAGGTACAGCAGGGGCGCCAAGGGGCAGCCCTGCCAGACACCAGCCTCCATGTCTACCAACTTGGACTTGTACCCGTTGACCATCACCCGGGCTCGGGTTTCGCTCAATAGCAGACATCCCCACGCACACAGCTGTGGTCCCACCCCCATCACCTCCATGGCCGCTAGGAGGAAAGCCGTGATCCGCTGCATTGTAAGCCTTGGCAAAGTTCAGGAGTGCCAGAAGATCTTGGCGGTTCTGCTTGTGAAGGAGGTGTGCCAGGTGGCGCAGGAAGAGCAAACTGGCTCCAATAAGCTGTTGTGCGGGGAGGAAGGCGGATTGCTCAGGGCTGATGACCCGTCTCAGGGCGGGGCCCAGGCGGTTCACCAGTACCTTAGTGAGGAGCCGGTAGTCCGAGCATAGCAGTGTGATGGGGTGGTAGTTGCCGGGGAGCTTAGGGTCGCCCTTTTTATAGTGCCATTGTGATGATCCCTTCATGGGAGCCTGCTGGCACCTGCCCGGTCGTGCCAATGGCAGTGAACAGGCCTGCCATGGTATTACCTGTGGCTGACCAGGGTTTCCTGTAGATGCCGGCCGGGATCCCATCCCACCCTGGGGCCTTGCCAGGTGCGCTCTTCTTGAGTGCCATCCACAGTTCGGTGGCTGTAATCGTTTTGGCTCCAAGTTGTTCATCTGCCTCTGCCGGGAACTTGACGTTGGCTGCAGTACGGCTTGGCGGGCCTGGGGGCAGGTGAAGTCTGTGGCCTTGCTCACATCCCTCCAGAAGTCTGCTACCACCTGGGGCAGCTGAACAGGGTTGGTAACGAGTCGGCCGGACAAGGCTGCAGGGCGACAGGGGCTGGCTGTTGATGTACATGCTGGGCCTGGAGGAAGGCTGTAAGGTATGGGCGGCCTGTCAGGTTTGTTGGGTATGGCTGACAGGAGAACCCTCTCCGGGTGGGGATTCTGTCTCAACGTCGGGCTGAGTCACCATAGGGACTTGGAGAATGAGACTGGAAATTTGGGAGCCTGCCTGGTACGAACCTATGTCGCTGGCTTCCGTCTCTGTTGCCTCTGGTCCCTAGAGCCCGTCGTGTTTGGATATGATTGCCGCATCGAATTCCTCGGCGTCGAGGTGTAACTGCTGCTGTCGACAGCGTAGTGTTGCCCGTTCCTTTGTTTCGGATGGATGGTGCCAGTGGTGGCCCCTAAGACTATTCATGAAATGGTGTAGTGCACGTACGATCCATGCAGCCGTCGTCAGGTCATCTTTAAAAAGACGTTGATGCTGTTTGGATTCGTTGTCCTAGGAAAATTGTGTTTGTGTCGGAGGTTCGTACCGTAACTTACCTCAGTAGCTACTTTAGGGGCGTATGCAGGGGGACAGCAGTGATGCCAGCGGACCGCGCATGTGGTTGCTTGTCGTACTCTACTGTGGGTCTAAGACACTTGATGTCTTCTGCTGGGCGGGCTTAGGTCCGTGAACATCCAGTGTATGTATGCGGGAACCGCCTTCTTGGGCAGTAGGGTGGTTAATCCTGCATTGCTCCGGCATCCATGATCATGAAGTCCCGCCGAATCCGTGTACCCTGTCTGTGATGTTTATCCCCGAAGCGCCAGCGGCCTCAGCACTCCCACTTCATCGCGGCACACCGCAAGTCTCCGGAGGCCCCGAGCATTGGCTAAAGTAAATGTACAAACGAGCAGCTTGCGTATTTCATAGAGAAATGTAAGCAAATTTGTCGGCCTGCTGCGTGCGGGCAAATGGTAACACAAGCTGGGTGTTCAAGTTATCATACGCTGTCATCTCGGAAATCAATGATGAGATACACGGCACCTTTTTGAGATGAAATTTAGCCCGAGAGGCGTTGATGTTAGGCAGCCAAACTTGTTTGTGCTCATACGATTTTTGTTGGCTACAGGCGAGATACCATGCAATAGAGAATGCAGTATATTACCAATAACGCGTTTCAGACGGGCGAGATATTATGTTTGGTCCGTTACACACACACACACACACACACACACACACACACACACACACACACACACACACACACACACACACACACACACACACACACACACACACACACACACACACACACACACACACACACACACACACACACACACACACACGGACATGGGCAATCCTACAGGTCGGGGCCCCCCTGGGCGCTTCGCGCTGGGGCCCCGCCCCAAAACCCAGAAGGAATGGTGCGGACCTAATGAAACAGCGCGAACTAGCGTAGCGTTGTGGGGGTGAGAATGTTGGTGGGAGGAGTCCGCGTGTGTTAAAGCACGTATGCTTGTAAGGAGGGGGCGGAAAATTGAGTTCGAGTACGGCGCTGCTGCTATTTGCTTGCAATGGTGATAAGTCTGCCACCTTCCCTAATAGTACTAACTGGGCTGGGTAATCGGCCTTTTCTTTACATTTCGTAGTTAGCCAGAAAGTTCAATGTGAAATGCGGGGTTGTTAGGTGGTGTGAAGTTTGGTCGGATTTATCGTTCAATGGACCCACCATCACTTTGCATCCCGCTAACAGCTCAAGGGTTTCTATTCATTTGCGACATGACTGTATGTAGCGACCAAGGTTCTTCACCCCGATTCGGGCCCGAACGTTTTTGAGATTTTTCCGTTTTGCCCTAAAGGAAAGTTGGTGCGCCCCGGAGCATCCCGAACGGATTTGGGGCCTTTTGGAGACTTTTTCGGGGGCACCACACGAAGCATTTTGAATGCATTTTCGGAGCATTTTACTGAGTTAGACACGACTGGCCGCGTACTAGCGACCTTCCGTTGGTCGAGGTCTACTGAGTTAGACACGACTGGCCGCGTACTAGCGACCTTCCGTTGGTCGAGGTCTACTGAGTTAGACACGACTGGCCGCGTACTAGCGACCTTCCGTTGGTCGAGGTCTACTGAGTTAGACACGACTGGCCGCGTACTAGCACACTTCTATCCGAACGGCCTGATTACCGTTACACTTACGGCAAATCCAATAAGTGTGCTGAGAACGATCATACGTTTGCTGCGCGTTTGTCTGCTACATGAAGACTGACACGCGAAGGTTAGGATCTTACGACCATCAAGGTTATCATGCCGCGTATTACGGTTTGGCTTCGGTCATTTAAATGCTTATTACAGTTGGCAAATGTCTACTAGTTAGTACTTACTATCGTTGGCTATGATGAAGCTGGCCCGGAGCTGCATAACCCGGTAGCTACGATTGCGTAACGAAGTAGCTGCTGTACGTAATGGGTGCATGTTGATTAAGTGCTCGTCCTGTAGTGTAGTACGGCAAGTGCGGCGCGGGAGGAGCAGACCGGAATTGGCCAGAGGACAGTGACTGATACGGTAGTGCGTTACAAAGATTAGCTGGGAACAAAGCGCTGAATCCAGACAACGCTAGTTCGCCAGTCAACCGTGCAAGCAAGCGCAAGTCAGAACGTCGTCTGTTGGGGATTTTGAATTGTTTAAATAGTGATTTACTTTGTATTCGGGACCCAGCTCAATAGTAAAATAGATAAGGCGATTTGACGTTGCTGGCATATCGGTCGCCAGTAACAGCGAAGTGATGGCAGAGCGCGAGCAATCGCGCGGCGGAGGCCAAGAAGGCTTGGAGGACATCCTCCAACAGCGGGACGAAGGAGGACACCAGAATGGCGGAGCACCTAGTTACCCGGAGGGGGCCGATGCGGTGAGTAACAGACGCCAGCTATTGCTCCGCGCGGTCAGACTGTAGGCACAGCCAGCCGCCGCAAGTTCTGTTATATCAAAGGCATGGGAGAGACCGGACCCAGTTTTAAAATAGCGGGAAAGGGATGCGCCGCCGCTGTTGTTTGACCAGGCTGGATTAGAAGCTACGGGTCAGGCTTAGCTTATGAAGAACACGAATCTGTAGACCGCGAGTGGCCGACTCAGAGTATTAGTGCTCGTGAGGTTGGGTCCGTTTCCGGTGGATGGCGCCGCGGCAGAGGGGTAGTTGCTTTGAGATGGCGCAGCGGGGTCTGTTATCCCAACGGGTCCCTGTCCTGAAAGCAGCCAAAAGCCCGCAATAGCGCCTAGGCAGGGGCACGCCCACTGGGGGCCACGCCCGGGGAAAAGAGGCACCTAGTCGTCGGCTTCACACTTCGGCAGGAGCAAATGCCCAAAAGTAACCATAGCCTGTAGGTTTTTCCGAAGGAGGTCTCGTGAAGGGCCGAGCTACCGTGTGGAGCTGCATTCTATCCGGAAGGCCAGCCCCAGCGGGTATGCTGTCGCGCGGCGAAGCACCCAGGCTGATTTGCCTTGGGCCGGCAGGTTTAGGTCGCATGCATCCGGAAGGCCAGCCCCAGCGGGTATGCTGTCGCGCAGCGAAGCACCCAGGCTGATTTGCCTTGGGCCGGCAGGTTTAGTCGCATGCATCCGGAAGGCCAGCCCCAGGGGGTATGCTGTCGCGCAGCGAAGCACCCAGGCTGATTTGCCTTGGGCCGGCAGGTTTAGGTCGCATGCATCCGGAAGGCCAGCCCCAGGGGGTATGCTGTCGCGCAGCGGAGCACCCAGGCTGATTTGCCTTGGGCCGGCAGGTTTAGGTCGCATGCATCCGGAAGGCCAGCCCCAGGGGGTATGCTCTCGCGCGGCGAAGCACCCAGGCTGATTTGCCTTGGGCCGGCAGGTTTAGTCGCATGCATCCGGAAGGCCAGCCCCAGGGGGTATG